GGGCCGGAGTGGGGGCCGAAGACGCCACAGGGGCTTGTGGCTTTCCTGCCCTCGCAGTAAAATGGGAAATCGCGCCAGAAGCGGGAGGGAGGCTGGCAAGGAAGGCGAGGCCGGGAAGCCCAGGTGGAGAGAGCGAATCACTTGACTTGGGTAGGCGTTGAATCCTGAGCCCCCTCCCTGCCACCACTTCTTTGTTCAAAATCCTGTGATGAAAGATCTCCCAAACTTAACTATGAGTTCGGAGTCCAGCGGAGGCTGTGTTTCTCAAATGCATGTTGATTGCCTCACACTTTAAATCTTGCTCCGGGCCTTTGTGGACGGGGCGTTTCGGGCCTGGAGTCATAAGATGAAATGCTGTGTGCAGTTCCCCTGGAAAAAGGGACGCCACGTGGGCCTGTGCGCGTCCCGGCCCTGGGTGGGGAGATACCTTCAAGTCACCGTGGTCGAGCATCTCGCCTGCAACTTCAAAAGCCAAAAAACCAGTTTTTATAACGTTGAGCAGAACCCTGTTTTATAGATGTAAGTGAGGCATGTAATGGTTTCAGGAGTAAAAACGGGGTCCAGGACTCCTGATCACAAGACTTTAATAGTGATAATCCTCTTGCTTTTTAGATTTTTCTAACAGTAGATTTTTAATTTGGCTCCCTTATGACATCATGTCATTGTTTCCCATAATCTACATTTTTTTTTCCCTTTTCCTCATTTTTTTTTTGGTGATTGCTCTTTAAGCAATACATCTATTTTTAATAATAGGAGTAATGCTTGTTTATGGTTTAAAAAATTAAAATATTCTCGCTTACAGTGTGGTAAATAAAAGTCATTCGTAATCCTAGCTCCTAAAGAATGACTACCTCTAACAACTTGGTGTACGTATATAAAAAGGAAAAGAAAAGCAGAGGTAAGAGATCATATAGCCCCTGCTGTTGTATAACCTTTACCTCCCAGTGTATTGTGGACACGTGCAGTTTGACCTCTAATAGTGCAGTTTCATTTCAAAAGAGTCATGTTGAAACTTCATAACACGGTAATAGAGTTACAAAAATTGTTTTCATTTTTCAAATTAACAACAACTTGAAAGAGTAGATAGGAAACTTAGGGGTTTGTGAGTTTATGTTAATGAGGGAGGAATAATTCAGAAAAGCATGAAAATGTACAACTTGAAGAATGCAATGTGTCACTGAATTATACACATAGAAGCTTAAATTGGTGTATCTTCTGTGTATATTCTCAACAACAAAAAGAATGAATTATTAAAATCTCTGTTATAACTTCATTTTGAATAAATGTATAGTTGTTATTTTGTCTGTGGACTGGTATTGGCCATTTTGAATCAGTCAATTGGTCTACTATACCAGCAATGACAAATTGAAGAGGAATGGCTTCGCATTCATCATCAAAAAGAATATTTCAAGATCTATTCTGAAATACAACACTGTCAGTGATAGAATAGTATTCACATACCTACAAGGAAGACCAGATAATACGACTATTACTCACAATTATGCACTAACTGCTAATGCGAAAGGTGAGGAGACTGAAGATTTTTACCAACTTCTGCAGTCTGAAATTGATCAAATATGCAATCAGGATGCATTGATAATTACTGGTGATTGGAATGCAAAAGTTGGAAATGAAGAAGGATTTGTAGTTGGAAAACGGCATTGGTGATAAAAGCTGACGCCAGAGATCGCTTGACAGAATTTTGCAGGACCAACGACTTATTTATTGCAAATACCTTTTTTCAACATCATAAACTGCAACCGTACACGTGGACCTCTCTAGATGAAATACACAGGAATCAAATCGGCTACATCTGTGGAAAGAGACGATGGAAAAGCTCAATATCATAGTCAGAACAAGGCCAGGGGCTGACTGTGGAACATACCATCAATTGCTTATAAGCAAGTTCAAGCTGAAGCTGAAGAAAATAAAAACAAGTCCCACCTAAATCTAGAGGCCATCTCAAGAATAGATTTGACACATTGTATAGTAATGGCTGAAGACAAGATGAGTTGTGGGGTGACATCAAGGACATCACACATGAAAAAAGCAAAAGGTCATTAAAAAGACAGGAAAGAAAGAAAAGACCAAAACAGATGTCAGAAGAGACTCTGAAACTTACTCTTGAATGTCAGTTAGCTAAAGCAAATGGAAAAAATGACGAATAAACGAGCTGAATAGAAGATTTCAAAGGACAGCTCCAGAAGAGGAAGTATTATAATCAAATGTACAAAGACCTGGAGTTAGAAAACCAAAAGGGGAGAACAGTCTTGGAATTTCTGAAGCTGAAAGAATTGAAGAAAAAATCGACGCCTCGAGTTGCAATTTTGAAGGATTTTATGGATAAAATATTGAATGACGCAGGACGCATCAAAAGAAGATGGAAGGAATATACAGAGTCACTGTACCAAAAAGAATTGGTCAGTGTTCAGCCATTTCAGGAGGTAGCATATGATCAAGAACCTATGGTACTGAAGAAAGAAGTCCAAGCTGCACTGAAGGCATTGGCGAAAAACAAGGCTCCAGGAATTGACAGAATACCAATTGAGATGTTTCGGCAAACAGATGCAACACTGGAGGTGCTCCCTTAATGTGTGCCAAGAAATTTGGAAGACAGCTGCCTGGCCAACTGACTGGAAGAGATCCATATTTGTGCCTATTCTAAAGAAAAGTGAGTCAACAAAATGCAGGAATTATCAAACAATATTAATATCACATGCAAGTAAAATTTTGCTGAAGATAATTCAGAAACGGTTACAGCAGTACATCGACAGGGAGCTGCCAGAAGTGCTGGACTGTATGAAGAAGAACATGGGGCACCAGGATTGGTGGAAGACTCATTAACAACCTGAGATATGCAGATGACACAGTCTTGTTTGCTGAAAGCAAGGAACACTTGATGCAGTCACTGATGAAGATCAAAGACTACAGCCTTCACTGTGGATTACACCTAAACATAAAGAGAACAGAAATGCTCACAACTGGACCACAATAAGCAACATCATGATAAACAGAAAATTTTGAAGTTGTCTAGTATTTCATTTTACTTGGATCTACAGTCAGTGCTCATGGAAGCAGTGGTCAGGAAATCAAAGGACACATTGCATTGGGCAAATTTGCTGCAAAAGACCTCTTTAAAGTGTTAAAAAGCAAAGATGTCACTTGGAGGACTAAGGTGCGCCTGATCCCAAGACATGATATTTTCCATTGCCTCATATGCATGCAAAAGTTAGCGAATAAGGAAGACTAAAGAAAAATTGATGTCTTTGAATTACAGTGTTGGTGAAGAATATTGAACGTACCATGGGCTGCCAGAAGAATGAACAAGTCTGTCTTGGAAGTACAGCCAGAGCGCTCCTTGGAAGCAAAGATGGCGAGACTTTGTCTCGTGTGCTTTGGACATCTTATCCGGAGGGACCAGTCCCTGGAAAAAGATTTATGCTTGCTAAGGTAGAGGGTCAGCGAAAAAGAGGAAGACCCTCAACAAGATGGATTGACACAGTGGCTGCAACAATGGCTTCAAACATAGCAACGATTGTGAGGATGGTGCAGCACCAGGCAGTGTTTCATTCTGTTATACATAGGGTCGCTAGGAGTTGGAACCAACTCGACAGCACCTAATAACACTTGTCCAACTGCAACATGAAGATGCAATTAAATCTAAGTATCTGTGAAAAATGAATGTAATAAAACAATGCCTGCTTTTAAAAACAATGTTTGTTTTTCTTGTGGAGATTTCTGTAAAGGGTTTTTTTTTTTGTTTTTTGTTTTTTAAGGTAAGGCTATAAAATCTAAAAATCACTGAGCAGATCCAGCGTTTGACGTCTCCAGTTTTTACTCGAAATGATGATCTTTTGTCATCACCTCCAGCAGGATTGTTATTTTAGCATCGTGGTCATCATTGCTTGTTTGTATAAGCCAAACAAAAGTATCACACAAACAAAACAGGTTACTTCCATAGCTTTTTCTCCTGCCTGAGGTGCTCTTAAAAGACAGAAAAGGTCTTCTTAAAGCAAATCATGTTCCTTAACTAATTTGTGCTCTATAGGCAGGTGTTCAGTTGGGTGGGTATACCTGATTTTTAAAAAAGAGACAATGCTATCAGCTTTAGGGATGTGTGTTATTTGCATGGTATTGTCTTGCTGATAGAGAAATACTAAGTGATCACTGGCTAATTTCTTAACATTTATAAGCCTCAGTTTCCCATCTGTAAGATGGGAATAATAATAGCGTCTTCTTCCTGGTGTTTAAAGATTAAATGAAATCAAGCATGTAAAGTGCTTAAAACAGTGCCTGGCATAGTATGTGTTTGATACTGTTTTTAAAATAAAAAGTCAATTGATTTTTAGATAAACTTTAAATAATCTTCTTATGCAGAAGACTTAACAGATGGTTCATATGATGATGTCCTGAATGCTGAACAACTTCAGAAACTCCTTTACCTGCTTGAGTCAACTGAGAATCCTGCAATTATTGAAAGAGCTTTGGTCACTCTGGGTAACAACGCAGCCTTTTCAGCTAACCAAGTAAGTACCCGAGTCCCAGCAAACAAGTTCCTTCCGTTCTTACACACTAGAAGTTATGGTGACCCTGGATAAGGTACTTAACCTCTTGGAGCCTGAACTTCCTTATCTGTAACACGTGACACCTTATACCTACAGCATAATGTTTACTTCTGAAAAGCCAAACATAATAGTATCATGATATGTTAATATGATTCTAGATTCATATGAAATTGGTCAACGGCAACACATTAATAATTAAGTATATCTAATCAACATTTGGAGACCCTGGTGGTGTAGTGGTTAAGAGCTATGGCTGCTAACCAAAAGATCGGCAGTTTGAATCCATGAGGCACTCCTTGGAAACCGTATGGGGCAGTTCTGTTCTGTCCTGTAGGGTTACTATGAGTCGGAATCAACTCGACGGCAACGAGTTTGGTTTTTTGGTTTAATCAACATTTAGCAGTAAGTACTTAAAATTTGGCAGCAACCCTGGTGGTGCAGTGGTTAAGCTCTGATAACTGAAAGGTTGACAGTTCAAATCCACCAGCTGCTCCAAGGGAGAAAGATGTGGCAGTAAGCTTCTCTAAATATTATAGACAGTGCTATCTTGGAAAACCTATTGGACAGTTACTCTGCCCTGTAGGGTCACTGTAAGTTGGAATCAACTCCACAGCAATGGGTAACGTTTAACTATGTGCTTTAAATTGTATATTGGACTGATGAATATGTTTAGTTAATGCTGACATTGCAACCACAGGTTGAAGATGTTACTAAATTGTTTTTTATATATACATAATTGTTGATATGTTTCATATATAATGTCAAGGAAACTATGGTATCTAGAATTTTCTGATGGTTTTTAAATATAACTTAAAATTTTCCAAAAAGATGATCAAACTTTAATGTGCATAAAAATTATCATAACTAGGAACTTATTAAAAGTGCAGATTCCTGAGCCGCTTTCCCAAAGTTTCTAGTTTAATAGGTAAGGCCTAGGGATCTGAATTTCTAACAAGCACTCTGATATTTCTGATGCTGGTGGTCCCTGGACCACGCTTTGACAACCACTAAACCAAAAAAAAACCCAATGCCATCGAGCCGATTCCAACTCATAGTGACCCTATAGGACAGAGTAGAACTGCCCCCATAGGGTTTCAAACGAGCGGCGTGGATTTGAACTGCCGACCTTTCAGATAGCAGCCAAGCTCTTAACCACAGCTTCTTGTTGTTAGGTGCCATCGAGTCACTTTTGACTCATAGCGACCCTGTATATAACAGAACGCAACACTGCCCAGTCCTGTGCCATCCTCATGATCATTCTTATGCTTGAGCCCATTGTTGCAACCACTGTGTCCGTCAATATCATCGAGGGTCTTCCTCTTTTTCACTGACCCTCTACCTTAGCACGCATGAAGTCTTTCTCCAGGGACTGATCCCTCCTGATAACATGTCCAGAGTAGATGGAGGAAGCCTCGTCATTCTTGCTTCCAAGGAGCCCTTTGGCTGTACTTCCAAGACAAACTTGTTCATTCTTCCACAAGTCCCTGGTATATCCAGTATTCTTCGCCAACACCGTAATTCAAAGGCATCAATTCTTTGGTCTTCCTTATACCCGGAGTTTCCCAAATTTACTTAACCATGCAATTCCCTTTTATTATGGAATATCTCTTAACATCTTGAGGAACTAGTGTTCCAAAGAATACATCTTAACGAAACATTACTTTGGTATTATAAATCATAATACTTTTCAAAGTTTGTCTCTAATAGAGAAGTTAATTTATTTCAAAACAAAATAATTTTGTTTGTGAATTGCTTTAAGATCATTACATTAGCTCTGCAAATCTTTTTATTGTATATCTCCATGCTACAGTTTAAAGAATTATATATCTTAATTTTATGTTCAGTTAATTTCCTTTACTTATAAAATTGTGGATAGTAAAAGAAAAACAAATTACAGATTATAATTGTATATGGGAAAGGTATTTCCAAAGTTATTCATTTTTTAATTTGTGGATGCAAAGAATTCAAGGTAAGGGAGTGCATATTGAAGTCATAGTCCTTTTTTCTCCCTCTTAGGCCATTATTCGTGAATTGGGTGGTATTCCAATTGTTGGGAACATGATTGACAGTCCCAACCACAGTATTAAAGAGAAAGCTTTAAATGCACTGAATAACCTGAGTGTGAATGTTGAAAATCAAGACATCATAAAGGTAAGTTATCTGAAAACACAAATGTGTAAGATGTACTGTAGATGAAAGAAAATTACAGAAAAGTGGTTTTGGAACTTTAGTGGACTATTATTTTTAACTTTACGGCTCAGAATTAATCTCTAGAAGAATGGAGGATGAGGGACATGAACCAGGAATAAGAGATGCATAGGACTTGTGAAGTTGGGGATCAGTTTAATCCAAAATGTGGTAAAGGAGCCAGCCCAGAACCAGATAACGTAAACAGAAAAAGACACAATAAATTAGGAAATTGTGTTCATTTAGTTCAAGTTGGTATTTATTGAGTTCCTGCTCTGTGCTAGGGAGTATAGAAATGAACGTGATACAACTGTTGCCAAGAAAGCTAGGAGGGATAAGGCAAACTCATTAATAGTTGTTATTTAAGGTGGAATTAGCTTTAAGGTGGAACAAGCTTTAAGGAAAAGTATAAGATGTTGAGGACATAGAAAGGAAAGATCCCATCCAGAATTGTCTGTGTAAAACGTGAAGTCTGACCTGGGTTTGAGAATGTCTAAGATTTCTACAAGTAGAGTTGAGGAAAGAGGGAATTCCAGTGGGAAGAAACAAGGTAAGGTAGGCACCATTCCAAGAATAACTGAGCTGGACCATCTAGCAATCTTGCTACTAGAATTACAATGGTGAAAAGATTTAAAGATAAAAAGGATGTAGATGCTTAACACATTTTGGAAAAGCTTTGAAAGACACCACTACGTTATGGAAATATACGACTTAAGAGAGGTAAGAAAATGCCATTTTTTTAAGGATGGCTGTTTAATGAAATTGTGACCAAGAGAGCTAGTTAGTTTATGAAAGTCATTTAGATCTTGAAACCAGATTACAAGTTTATGTCACTGAGTTATACATATATAAAAAATTTTTTTAAATGGCAACCGTTATATATATATTTACCACAATTTAAAAAAAAAAAGTTTAAACAGCAACCATAGAAGACCAGGAGTGGCAATACTAATCTCAGATAAAATAGACTTTAAGGTAAAATCCATCATAAAAGATAGGAAGGACATTATATAATGATTAAAGTCCACCATGAAGACATAATCATAATAAACATTTACACCCAACAGCAGGGCTCCAAAATACATAAAACAGACTCTAGCAGCACTGAAAAGAGAAACTGACAGTTCCACAATAATAGTAGCGGACTTCAACACACTACTCAGAAACTGACAGTTCCACAATAATAGTAGCAGACTTCAACACACTACTCTCAGTAAAGGACAGAACATCTAGAAAGAAACTCAGCAAAGATACAGATCTTAAGGCCACAATCAACCATCTTGACCTCATAGCCATATATAGGATGCTACCCAACAGCAACAAAGTATACATTCTTTTCCAGTGCACATGGAACACTCTCCAGAATAGACCACATCTTAAGCCACAAAACAGTTTTCAACAAAATCCAACACATTGAGAAAATACAAAGCATCTTCTTGGATCACAACACCATAGAAGTAGAAATTAGTAACAGGAGGAGCCAGGGAAAAAAATCAAATACATGAAAACTGAATAACACCTTGTTTAAAAACCACTGGGTAATAGAAGAAATCAAAGATGGAATCAAAAAATTCCTGGAATCAAACGAGAATGAAAACACATCATACCAAAACCTTTGAGACGCAGCAAAGGCAGTGCTTAGAGGTCAGGTTATAGCAATAGATGCACACATCAAAAAAGAAGAAAGGGACGAAATCAAAACATTAGCCCTACAACTCACACAAATAGAGAACAGCCAAATAAGCCCACAACCACCAGAAGAAAGGAAATAATAAAGATCAGAGCAAAAGTAAATGATAATAGAGAATATAAGAACAATAGAAAGAATCAACAAAAACAAAAGTTGGTTCTTCAGAAGGATCAACAAAACCAACAGGCCATTGGCCAAACTGACAAAAACAGGAAAGGAAACAAATAACCCGAATTTTAAGAACTGCAATGGGGGACGTTAAAACAGACCCAACTGAAATAAAAAGGATCTTAACAGAGCACTATGAAAAAGTACTCCAACAAATTTGAAAACCTAGAGGAAATGAACAAATTTCTAGAAACACACTATCTACCTAAAGTAACACAAACCAAGGTAGAAAATCTGAACAGAGAAGAGAAAAAGTAATTTTAAAAACTCCCAACAAAAAAAAAAGCCCTGGCCCAGATGGCTTCGCTGGAGAATTCTACCAAACATTCAGAGAAGAGCTTACACCAGTACTACTCAAACTATTTCAGAGCATAGAAAAGGAAGGGATACTTCTGAATCCGTTCTCTGAAGCTAGCGTAACCCTGATACCAAAATCGGCAAAGACACCACAAAAAAAGAAAATTACAGATCAGTATTTCTCGTGAATATGGATGCAAAAATTCTCAACAAAATTTTAGCCAATAGAATTCAGCATCGTATAAAAAATGTAATACACTGTGACCAAGTGGGGTTCATAACAGCTATGCAGGATGATTCAACATTAGAAAACCAGTCAACGTAATCCACCACATAAATAGAACAAAAGAATCCCATGATCATTTTAGTCATTGCAGAAAAGTCATTTGATAAAGTCCAACACCCATTTCTGATAAAAACTCTCAATAAGATAGAAATAGACGGGAAATTCTTCAGCATAATAAAGGGCATCTTTACAAAACTAACAGCCAGCATTATTCTCAACAGAGAGAGGCTGAAAACATTCCCTTGAGAACAAGAACAAGACAAGAATGCCTTTTATCACCACTCCTATTTAACATTGTGCTGGAAGTTCTAGCTAGAGCAGTAAGGCAAGAAAAAGAAATAAAGGGCATCCAAACTGTTAAGAAAGAAGTAAAACTCTATATTCGCGGGTGATATGATAAACTAGACATAGAGAACCCTAAAGACTCCACAAAAAAAACTACAAGAACTAATAGATTCAGCAGAGTAGCAGGATATAAGAGAAACATACAAAAATCAGTTGGATTCCTGTACACCAATAAAGAGAACTACAAAAAGGAAATCAGGAAAGCAATACCATTTATATAGCCCCTAAAAAAAAAAAATACTTAGGAGTAACTCTAACCAGGGATGTAAAAGACCTATACAAAGAAAACTACAAAACACTACTGCAGGAAACCAAAAGAGACCTACATAAATGGAAAAACATAACCGTGTTCATGGATAGGTAGACTCAACATTGTGAAAATGTCAGTTCTCATTAAAGCAACCTACAAATACAGTGCAATCTCGATCCAAATACCAACAGCGTTCTTTAACAAGATGGAAAAATGAATCATTAACTTTATATGGAAAGGAAAGAGGCCCTGGATAAGTAAAGCATTATTGAAGAAAAGGAACAAAGTAGGAGGCTTCATAGCACCTGACCTCAGAACTTACTACACAACTACGGTAGTCAAAACAGCCTGGCACTGGTACAACGACAGACACATTGACCAATGGAACAGAATCAAGAACCCAGATGGAAATCCTTATGGTCGTCTGATCTTTGACAAAGGCCCAAAGTCTGTTAAATGGGGAAAGCCGTCTTTTTAACAAATGTTGGCTGGCAAAACTGGATGCCCATCTGTAAAAGAAACAGGACCCACACCTCACACCACACACAAAAACTAATTCAAAATGGATCAAAGACCTAAATATAAAAACAAAAACTATAAAAATCATGGGAAAAAAATTAGGGACAACACTAGGTACCCTAATATGTGGCATAAACAGCATACAAACCATAATTATCAATACACAAACACCAGAAGATAAGCTAGATAAATGGGATTTCCTAAAAATTAAACACTTATGCACATCAAAAGACTTCACCAAAAGAGTAAAAAGAGAACCTACAGACTGGGAAAAAAATTTTGGCTATGACATACCTGACAAAGGTCTAATCTCTAAAATCTATAGGAAATTCCAACATCTCTACAATGAAAAAAATAATCCAGTTGAAAAATTTGCAAAAGATATGAACAGACACTTCATCAAAGAAGACATTCAGGTGGCTAACAGACAAATGAAGAAATGCTCACGATCACTAGCCTTTAGAGAAATGCAAATCAAAACTACAGTGAGATACCATCTCACCCCAACATTACTGGCATGAATCAAAAAAACAGAAAATAACAAATGTTGGAGAGGTTGCAAGGAGATTGGAACTCTTATGCATTGCTAGTGAGAATGCAAAATGGCACTAACATTTTGGAGAACAATATGATACTTCCTTGAGAAGCTAGAAATAGATACGATGCAGCAATCCCACTCGTAGGAATATATCCTGGAGAAGTAAGTGCCATCACACGAATAGACATATAAACGCATGTTCATTGCAGCATTATTCACAGTAGCAAAAAAATGGAAACAACCTAAGTGCCTATCAACAGATGAGTGGATAAACGACGGTACATAAACACAATGGAATACTATGCGACAATAAAGAACAATGATGAATCTGTGAAACATCTCACAACATGAATGAATCTGGAGGGCATTATGCTGAGTGAAATAAGTCAGTCACAAAAGGACAAAAGTATTTCGTACTGTATTGTAAAAACTCATGAAAAAGTTTACACACAAAGAAACAATAGATAAGAAGTAACTTTGGTGAGGGGTAAGACAGTGCACGATACTGGGGAAGTCAGCACAGTTTGACCAAGGTAAGGTCATGGAAGCTCCATAGACACACGCAAACTCCCTTAGGGACCAAATTATTAGTCTGAGGGCTATGGGGACCATGGTTTCGAGGGACATCTAGCTCAAATGGTATAATGTAGTTTATAAAGACAATGTTCTACATCCTACTTTGGTCAGTAGCGTTTGGGGTTTTAAAAGCTTGTGAGCACCCATCTCAGATACTCTACTGGTCTCACCCCTTCTGGAGCAAGGGAAAATAAAGAAAACCAAAGACACAAGGGAAAGATTCGTCCAGAGTACTAATGGACTACAACTACCACAGTCTCCACCAGAGTGAGTCCCCACAAGTGGATGGTGCCTGGCTACCACCACTGACTGCTCTGACAGGGATCACAATAGAGGGTCGCATACAGAGCTGGAGCAGAATGCAGAACAAAATTCTAACACAAAAAAAAGACCAGACTTACCGGCCTGACCGGGACTGGAGAAACCCCGAGGAGTATGGCCCCCGGACACTCTTTTAGCTCAGTAATGAAGTCACTGTGGAGGTTCACCTTTTAGCCAAAGATTAGACAGGCCCATAAAACAAAACAAGACTATAGGGGCACACCAGCCCAAAGGCAAGGACTAGAAGGCAGGAGGGGACAGAAAAGCTGGTTTAGGGAACCGAGTCTCAAGAAGGGAGAGTACTGACATGTCATGGCGTTGTTAACCAATGTCATAAAACAGTATATGTACTAACTGTTTTTAAAAAAAAGACCAGACTTATGCTCTGACAGAGACTGGAGAAACCCTTTTAACTCCGTATTGAAGTCATTCCTGAGGTTCAGCCTTCAGCCAAAGATTAGACAGGTCTGTAGGGCCAGCAGTTACGCACATGAGGGACGTGCTTCATAGGTGAATTATGTGTACAAGACTAATGGGCACAGCAGCCCAAAAGCAAAGACGAGAAGGCAGGAAGGGACAGGAAAACTGGACGAATGGAAATAGGGAACCTGGGGTGGAGAATGGGAGAGTGCTGACACATTGTGGGGTTGGCAACCAGTGTAGAAAAAATTTGTGTATTAACTGTTTAATGAGAAACTAATTTGCTGTGTTAATTTTCACCTAAATCACAATGAAAAAAAGAGAAGTTTAATCTCTCTTTGTTTTACAGTCATTATTTTAGTTCTGCGACAACATGGATACATTTAGGGATTAAAAAAAGAAATTAGTTATGGCTTATGGGACAATTGGTAATTTTACACTTCATATTGGGACAAATTTTTTGTTAGTTAAAACTTTTGATGGAATTCACATTTAGTTTGGTGAACACTGTTTATCTATGGAACATAATTTTTCCAAGCTGAAAAGATCGTGACCAGACGTAGATAGTAGAGGTTTCAGGAAACTGTTATACTGGGTTAGTTGTATATGAAATAGAAATACTACTGGCATCACATTACTTTGTGCCAGTGGTGGTTAACCTAACAACAACGGTAAATAAAAAGAATCTTAGGCCAAATATAGTTTTGCCTCTGCTTACTTTTGATAGAGCTAACTGTAAAGAAAAATTCTGTTTCAATTTGCCCCTTGCTTTTTACTTCGAACATGACAATACCTCTCTGAACCCGACCGTTAAGGTATTTACCATCATACAGAATGGCCTCACAGATCTTCCCCCTTGACCTGGTGTGCCCAGACCAGTTGAAACAGAAGGGTAAACTGATTAGGAGGCCCCAGAAAGTGAGAGGCCACCAGTGAGAAGAACTAGATTTCTGCAGGCCAACAATTCTCCCCCACCAGCTGGCTGACTTTGGGCAGAGCATCTGCGCTTCTGGACTTTAAAGTTCTCATTTGTAATAGCACCCACCTCATACAGTTGTGTTAAGGATTAAATGAGGTATGTTTGTAAAATGCTCGGCACAGTGTCTGGCATTAACAAAAGTAGCTTAAAAAAAAGTCACCAACATTTGAAGGCCAGATAAAAATGTCGTGTTTTCTGAGAAGCTAGTTCCATCTTAAGAACAGTCACGGTTCAGTGGTAGAATTTTGGAGATTTCTAAGATGCTTGCTTTTCTTTCTCCTGTCTTCAGATATACATTAGTCAAGTCTGTGAGGATGTCCTCTCAGATCCCCTGAACTCTGCTGTGCAAATGGCCGGACTGAGATTATTAACAAACATGACTGTCACCAGTGACCACCAGCATATGTTTAACAGTTACATGACAGACTTTTTCCATGTGTTACTTACTGGAAATGGAAACACCAAGGTATGAAGCAGTTATTACTTAAAGTACAAAAAGCTATTGCATCAAACTTATTATGATTGAAACTGAATTTCCAGGTCACCTATCTTAAGTTGATGTCCTTCAAAAAGGAGGAAGTTTACTGATGGAGCAGTAGAACGGATTGCAGAACTCAAATTCTAGTAAGAAGACCAGACTTAATGGTCTGACTGAGACTGGAGGTGCCCCGGAAAGCATGGCCCCTGGTCTATCACCCCAGAACTGAAACAATTTCTGAGGTCAACTCTTCAGGCAGGGATTGGACTGGACTGTGGGACATAAAGTGATACTTGTGAAGAATGTGCCTCTTAGTCAAGTAGATACAAGAGACCAAAGGGGTGGCTTCTGTCCAGAGGTGAGATGGGAAGGCAGAGTTAGGAGCTGGTTGAATGTTCATGGGGCATCAGGGGCGGAGGGGAGGAGTGTGCTGTCGCAGAAGGGGGTGAGCGGTTGGGGTCTCATAACAATGTATGTAAAAAAGTTACAAAAAATTCTGTATGGGAGACGGACTTGAAACGTAAATTTCATTTAATTACAACAATAAAAAAAAAAAAGAAGTTTAGTCGAGGTTTATTAAAACCCTCACATGGGCTTAAGAAAGTATTTTTTTTCCTCCTAAAAGTGAATTATAATGTTAACTTATGGAAATCATCGATTATTTCACTTATCGTTAAATTGAAGTTCATTTGGTTTTCTGTGAATCAGTTTCTCTTTTACTGAAGTGAAGTAGCTAGCCTTTTTTGCCCTGCCAGATATAGGAATAATGTGATTAAAACGAGTCTTCGAGTGATGTTATTATTGTTGTTGTTGATTGCTGTTGAGTCAGCTCCAACTCATGGTGACCCCATGTATAACAGAACAAAACATTCCTCAGTCCTGTGCTGTCTTTGATCATTGGTATTAGAATTGGGCCATTGGCATGAATTGGTATGAGTTGCTTTGAGTAATAGGGCTGATTTAATTGAAATTTTCCCTTACCTCAGGATTAACAAAACCTTTTTTTTTTTCTCTGATGTAGCCATTATTTGTTAAAAATCTTTCTAAAACCACTTTTGCACTTCAGTGAATGGAGTGTATTAAATACGTGAAGGATCTCTCAATGTCTTTGAATAGTCATCCTGAATGTTCTTTGTCCAGTTACATAGATGTAAGAGATGTCAGAGATTGAGCTGGATTAGTGGGGATCTCAGGAAACACTATGAAAGTTCCTTAAATAATCCCCCATGCCCCCATATTAGTGCATGTTTTCATCAATTGCCACTTTAAAAAGAAGGCATAAAAAGAATGTAGATTAAGTAAAGATTCTGATTAGTTGGGTTCCTTATTATTTAAGATTTTACTGTATTGGTCTGTGTTCTCTGCCACAGTTAAGAGAGAAAAATGCATGAGCATTTTAGAAGGACTAAATGTTAAGCTGTACTCCAAATATTTGACATCGCTGGAGATATTTCTGAGGTTATTAAGGTGTGATTGCAGGAGAGCCTCACTGTAGTACAGGTGTTGTTATTTGGACTTGCCACATTTCTAGTTGTTAGGTGCCGTCGAGTCAGTTCCAACTCATAGTGACCCCGGGTACAACAGAAAAAAACACTGCCTGGTCCTGCACCATCCTCATAATCGTTGCTATGTTTGAGCCCATTGTTGGAGCCACTGTGTGAGTCCATCTCATTGAAGGTCTTCCTCTTTTTCGCTGACCCTCTACTTTACCAACTATGATGTCCTTCTCCAGGGACTGGTCCCTCCTGATAACATGTCCAAAGTACGTGAGAAAAAAATCTTACCATGCTTCTACAGAGCATTCTGGCTGTACTTCTTCCAAGACAGATTTGTTCGTTCTTTTGGCAGTCCGTGGTACATTCAGTATTCTTTGCCACCACCATAATTGAAAGGCATCAATTCTTTTTTGGTCTTCCTTATTTATTGTCCAGCTTTTGCATGCATACAAGGCAATTGAAAATACCACAACTTGGGTCTGGTGCACCTGAATCATCAAAGTTACATCTTTGCTTTTTAACTTTAATCTTTTGCTTCACATTTGCCCAACACAATTATGTCATTTGATTTCGACTGCTGCTTCCAGTGAACGTTGATTGTAGATCCAAGTAAAATGAAATTTTTGACAGCTTCAGTATTTTCTCCATTTATCATGCATGATGTTGCTTATTGGTCCAGTTGTGAAGATTTGTCTTCTTTATGTTGAGGTGCAATCCATATGGAAGGCTGTAGTCCTTGATCTTCATCAGTAAGTGCTTCAAGTCCTCTTCACTTTCAGCAAGCAAGGTTGTGTCATCTGCATATTACAGGTTGTCAGTGAGTCTTTCACCAGTCCTGATGCTGGGTTCTTCATATAGTCCAGCTTCTCGGGTTATTTGCTCAGCATACAGATTGAATAAGTATGGTGAAAGGATACAACCCTGATGCACACCTTTTCTGATTTTAAACCATGCAGTATCCCCTAGTTCTGTTTGAACAACTGCCTCTTGGTCTATGTACAGGCTCTGCATGAGCACGTTTAAGCGTTCTGGGATTCCCATTCTTTGCAATGTTATCCATAATCTGTTACGATCCACACAGTCGAATGCCTTTGCGTAGTCAATAAAACACAGGTAAGCATCTTTCTGCTATTCTGTGTTTACAGCCAAGATCCATCTGACATCAGCCATGATATCTCTTGTTCCACGTCCCTTCTGAATCTGGCTTGAATTTCTATCAGTTCTCTTTTGATGTACTACTGCAACCATTTTTAAATTACCTTCAGCAAAATCCTACTTGCATGTGATATTAATGGTATTATTTATTTGGATCTGGTCCCAGACATACCCAAAGATGTTCAAAATTAAATGTAATAAATAGTAACTTGTCTTACAGCAATGTTGCTCCATCCACGGGCAATTTCCGACATGCAGACACCCATCAACATCCTTCTCTCCCCAGTGGAGCAGGATAACTTCGAGCCCCTGAAGCCCAAATGGCAACTCCCTCGCCTCTTTCCCCCACAGCATTGCCACTGTAGAAAAAATCTCTTCACTACCTGCCCCTGAAGCAACTTTGCCTAAAAGTTTAGGAGACATGCTAAGTTCAGAGTCTGGCCTTTGTATATTATCTGTCTCAGTTATGGTTTATGTTTTAATACATTTCATGACTTTTAAAAAGGTGACTCGTCATGATAGTATGTTCTATTTTTTTTTGTATTTTATTTTTCCACAGTATTGCCCAGTACATTATTTCTGGGATAAAGAATTTGCTTTTGTGGTCTGCCTGGGAGTCTGAGCACCAATTAGAACATTGTCCATAAAAATTAGTTTAAAATTCAACTTGTAAATAAACTTTTGAATAGTAATCCGTTTGTGAGTTGAAAGTTGTATCTTGTTTTATATATTTTCTTAGTAAATAACCACCAAAATGACTTTTTACAAATCTTATTTTGCTTTAAGGCAGTGATCTCACTGTACTGCAGTAACCTTTAGCATACACCACTGATTCATAAGTAAATATAAATAGTGAAGGTTAAATCAACCTTGGGCTTGCTATATCTGTAACAAGAGCAAATAAAATTAATGGCTTAAAATAAATGTCCTGTAGTCACCACAAGATGGCACATGTGACAACAGAAAAAAAGCAGTGGACTTAATATGATTTCAAACCAAAATACATAATTTGTTTAATCTGTAGTTGTATTCGAACTTTATATATATTTTCTCATGTTTCACCGTCTTCTACAGAGTATACCGTCCAGTTGCCATTGAGTCACCTTCACCTCATGGCAACCCCTTGCATGTTGATGTAGAACTGTGCTCCATAGGGTTTTCGATGGCTGATTTTTTTTTTCACAAGTAGATCATGAGGCCTTTCTAATGAGGCATCTCTGGATAGACTTGAACCTCCAACCTTCTGGTTAGCAGCCAAGTGCATTAACTGTACCACCCAAGGATTCTCAACGATTCACCCTAACCCACTAAAAACAAAGGGGCCATGTTGTTACTTATTTAGTCTTGGTATCTAAACTGTTCCGAAATTGCATACTTTAAGTAGAAATAAACTGAGCTTTGAGAGATTTCCTTTTTTCCCCCTTAAATAACACTGCTCTGTGGTAAGCGCTCTGAGAGTGGTGTGCCAAGTGCTGTGAGAGACAGAGCACGCCTGACGACCTATGTGAGATGAATTGAAAACGTTTCATGGGAAAAGAGAATTGGAGCCAAGCCTTGAAGCAAGGGCAAGACTTTAAAAAGTAGAAATGCTGAGAGGATAGCATGCTAGGGAGAGAAAGTTCATGCCTGTTGGTCTGAAATAAACTAATATTCTTCTTATTTCAGGTTCAAGTTTTGAAACTGCTTTTGAATTTGTCTGAAAACCCAGCCATGGCAGAAGGACTGTTCGGTGCCCAAGTAAATAGCTTACATATTTGTTTTGCAAATATACAGATTTGGACCTATGGATAGATCTAGAAAGATTTCTCCTAAAATGTTAACAGGGGTTATTTCTGAGGAGCAATATTAAAGGTGTTTTTTCTTTCTGCATATGTAAATTTCCTATAAATGAACATATATTACTTTTATTTTTCGTTTTTAAAAATTCTTCCTAACAAAAATAAACCTTTTCTTTCTCTACCAAATTTTGGACACACTTATGTCATCACATCATTTACACCTGACCTTTTTTGTTCGTATATTATCTCAGACATCCACCAGTATTTACTGAGTACCCAGTATGTGCCAGACGCTGTGCTGAATTCTGGGATATGTATGAATATGACATGACATGGTGCTTGTCCTCATGAACCTTACAGTCTGGTGGAAAAGACAGACCTGACAAAAATATGTAAGAAACAAATGAGATAATGAAAAGCTGTGAGAAGTGTTTTGAAGGAAGCAGAGATGGTGCTGAGGTGGAATGGACCTCTGCTCCTGCAGAAAAGGGACCCTGTTGAATTCACCTTCACATCCCTGCCCCCCAGCCCTGTGCCCCAGTGAACACGTGCAGTAAATGTTCAGTGAATTAGTAAGTTCCCATGAAAACTGCATGATGGATCTTAAAAAGGAAATGGATGTTTTTCCATATGTCCACATTACAGGATTCTAAGTGCATAGTAATTTTTAGCTAAAATGAAAAACCTTTTTTCTATTACTGCACAATGTAGGGGTACCTAGGAGTTTACACTGTAGACTGTGCTATCTTAGGGATAATATTCTATGACAAGATTGTAAAATACAAAATGTTTGATGCAGTTTTACAATGAAAATATACACAGAAAAGTGTTTTCATGTATTAACAATACTCACTGTGTTCTATTTCAGGTGGATTCATCGTTCCTTTCCCTTTATGATGGCCACGTAGCAAAGGAGATTCTTCTTCGAGTACTCACACTATTTCAGAATTTAAATAACTATGTCAAAAAGGATGGCCATTTAGTTAATAGGTCTACTTCCACCTTTCATAAAGGTTCCTTGTTTTCTCTGTTATATGGACAAGAATGTGCCCAGAAAATGAGAGCTTTAGTTCATCACCCTGATGTGGATGTGAAGGAAAAAGTTGTAATAATAACGTAATTCCGATTGGCCATGTTTCCAGAGAGTAATGCAGTCTGGAAGTAATACACATTATCAATTTATACATTTTCCTTATAAAGCAAAGGGAGTCTTTCAGCTGTTGAATTTAAACAGTAAATACCATGTTTCATCATTAACATAGCTATAACTTGGCCATGGTCTCCAAGTTTATTTTGATCATTTTATTGATACCAAATGAATATTAGTGCTTCTACTGAAAACATTTATTTCTTTCGATTTTTGTCTAGAGATATTTTAGTTATTTCCTCTATATGAAGTGACAGTGACTTTTTTATGTATAAACTGCCCTTCTGCCTTTTGCAGTGATTTGCAGCTAAGAGGGCGACCCCTAAGAGGTGCAGAGTAGAGCTGTTCCATAGGGTTTTCAAGGCTGTGACCTTTCAGAAGCAGATCCCCAGGCTGTCTTCAGAGGCACCTCTGGGTGGGTTTGAACCGCCAGCCTCTTGGCTAGTAGATGAGCACTGAACCATATGTGCTACCCAGGGACTCTAAGAGGACCGTAGTATGTCATTAACTGCATTGTTTTAGAACTGCCATGGGGATGGCACTGTTCTTTTAGTAGTGATCAGATCCTGAGTCCTCAAGCCCAGCTACCAACTCAGCCATTCTGCTTTAAGAAATCTATTCCAGTCGTTTGTGCTTCTCGTCAATGAAAAATGTAAACTTTTAGGAGAAAATATTTCCTAGTGCTTGCCCACTCCCATTTAGTATGTCAGTATGTAAAGATTTTATGCATAAAATACCAGGATTGATCAAAATGTCTACCCATAGGCAGTTGAGTAAATCAGTTATCCTGTCTTTAAAAGAATGAAGTAGCTCTGATGTGCTGATGTGGAAAGATAGCCATGAAATAGTTGTTTTCTAAACTACACTGTCAGAAGATGTATAAGGCGATCCTATTTGTTTGTTTAAATGAAAAATACATGTTTATGTGTACACAGAACACTTCCAGAATGATACACAGGCTCTGGGGAGTGGGACTGCAGAGTGGGGAAATGACTTTTCTCTATACACTCTCTTCTGCTGTTTGAATTTTTTAACTATGACCATAAATTTTATAATAATTTTTTAAATAAAGGGGAAAAAACCACAAGGTTATGTTTATTTTCTTCCTTTGATAGTACTTTATTTTATTCATTTCCATTCATATTTTACTTGACTAAAATTATATGAAAATACTTCAGCAATTAACTTTAATATTCTTTTTATATCATAAACTACTATAGCAATTTATTGATGTATTTGAATTCAGCCAGGATTTATGATATTAAATTTCATAACCCCCACCATGCCTAGCAATAAATAAATCCCCTATGCAAGCAAAAACTTTGCTACTCATGTATTTAAGGCAAAGCTTTAGAGTACTTTAAATTTCGTTTGTGAATACATGAATTCAAGACTGTTTCCATAGGAAGTCACAAATCTTCAACAGAAAAATGTGTATTCTTTAAAGTATAAAAAGGTTCAATATTAAGTTGAAACTTCCCAAGGGGCTAGAATAGTAAAGTATACATAATGGCAAAAAATAATATTTTTATATATTGGTGATGGAAACAAGTATTAATTCCCTGGAAGACATTTCTTTATGACTTTTTTTTTTTTTAATCTGCCTTATTTAATGAAAATATGTGTTCAAAATGTGCACACGTTAAAAACCAGAACTGGCCTTCCGTGTGCTTTAGCAGCACTGGGTTCTAAAACTCCATCTCTTTTCCTCTCTCCACATCATTAGTCTGAATGGAATCATTCACATATCACATTTGCTAGGGATCAGAGCATTTGAGTCTGAAATGTCAAAATGCTGAATTCGAAAAAGTAATTTTTAACTATCCAAAAAGAATTACATGGTGGAAATGCACAAGTAGATCCTTAATTTATCAATACACATCATGGCACAGCTTGGCTTTTATTAAGTAGGACTTTTCCAAATATCAAAGAAAATGAAATTGACTTAGAGGATAAGACCCAGACTAGTAAATGATATTACAATGCATCTTAGACTAAATTGAGGCAAGAGAATAGATGTATCTTTAATTTTTTCAAAAATTATCTTTGTTTTCACATAAATCCTTCAAAATGTAACAAGTGAAAAAATGGTAACCCACTTAAACAGGGTCAGGAGATGAAGCCTCATGTACTTTGGACCAGAAGTCTTAATGAATAAAAGGTCAATATAGAAAGAACACGAGTAATAAAAATAAAAGCTTGTGAGAAGGCCTAGAAAATGAGGCAGGTCTAATTAAGTGGAACTAGAACATGACAATTTAAAGTGCTTAAAGATCCTCAGTTAAATGGTACATGTAAGTACAAAAATGTTGAGGCTATTCATGGAGAAGACATAAGATATACTTAGCTTGCTTCATTAAGCGGAGGTAAGAAGTGAATTTTCACAGCATGCAGCAACAAGGAAAATGGTGACTACAAGAATGCTGGCTAGTTTCAGAGCAACATGCCCCAAACTAACCCACCGTAAACCTAACATCTTATTCTTACCTATTTAAATACTCGCTTTGAGTGAAAAGTTCATGCTTGTACAATTTTTTCCTAGAAGTTTATTTTATGGGAAAATTGTGCTTTAATATCCAGAAATCACATTATGTACACACACACTATATACACATGTCCCCCTTGACTGATTTGCTTCTTTGTAGATAAAAATGCTAAATTTAGATAAAGATCATTTACATGTGTCTTGGCTGTTAATCTCCAAAGGCACAAAGTGAGCTAAATTTGTTAGTCTTCACTGTTTAGTGTCCTAATATATATGCTTAAATTTGCAACAGGGACAATACATTATCAAAAGCATTAGCCTATCTTCAGTTTTCAAATTATCTGTATTAGGCAGTAGTATCTTAAGAATTTGTTTTTCTCCCTTATATTTTCAAAGTGCTTTAAGAAAAAAACACTTCATACTGTTCACACTTTTTGGAGGTAGGTCAAAGTTATCCTCTTGTTGCATGTGAGGAAACAGGCACAGTGAGCATAAGCGACTTGTTTCAGGTTACACAGAAAATCCGTAATAAAAGCAGGATTAAAATTCAGATGTAGCGGCTAATGTGGCAAGCACATAACATGCGTAACTGTATCAAACTATAGAGTGCTACCTGCGTAGCATTTAGTGTATAAAGTCTGTTTTGATTATTTTGTGTGAATAAAGGTTTCACTGAGATTTAACGGGTCAGGAAGATAAAATGGGCCTCTATCTAATCCAGCTCCCTCATTTAGGAATGTTGAGATTAATCAAGTGAATAATGTCTGCCGTCGAGTCAGTTCCAACTCTAGCATCCCTAGAGGACTAGGTAAAACTGCCCCATAACGTTTCCAAGGCTGTAATTGTTTTGAGAGCAGATCTGTGAATACAGATCCATTAGACTAAAATTAAGGTCAGATGAATCCCAGAATCACCACATTTTTTACCACTAGTATTCCACACTGGCTTAATAAAAGGGAGAATCATGCTTTGTTAGGTGTCGTGGAATTGATTTCAACTCAGCAAACCCCTATGACAAAGTAGAACTGCCCCAAAGGGTTTTCTAGGCTTTAATCTTTACAGGAGTAGATCACCAGGTCTTTCTCCCGCAGAGCCGCTGGGAGAGTTCAGACCAACAGCCTTTCAGTTAGCAGCTGAGCGGTTAACTATTGCGCCACCAGGGCTCCTTGAATCATGCTTAGGGGTCATTTAATATAAAAATATAAGACATCTGAATCATGTAAAACAATATTTATAAAATGTATCTTATTGATAGACCCAAGAAATAAAAAAGGAGTGTAAGTAGAGAAAATAGAATAAAATATAAAGTGTATGATCTATTAATATTTAAAACCTGCATTTATCTTTGTAAAGTATTTCCTTGTAGCTAATATTTGTGCTTAGCAGATCTTTCAGATTAAAAAAAAGTCTTAAATGATGTTCTTAGAACCACACTCTTTCCCTTCCTCTGGCCAACTCAGGGCTTTTGACTTGGAGGTTGTAGTCGTGCACTAGAATATACTGCCCCCTCTTTTAAAAAAGTCAAGTCTCTAAAAAATAGTAACTTAGCCCAAACCCCTATGTCCCTATGTTTTTATGCTTTAAAAAAATGACTTAACATTTGGCATATATACTAATATTGATACAGCAAGAACTGCCGTGTCTATAAGCATGTGGGAGTAGATTTCATCAATTACTATAATGTGAATATAAGAAACATGTTTATATTAATGTGCAGGCCTCTGAAAAAAACCTAGGTAGATGGTCTTAACTCACTTTGTACAGTGCCCTGAAGAACAGAATATGAATGAGTCTTTAATATCAGTTTTTTCATAACCTCAGAAAATTCTACAACTAAAGCAGAATGCTTTAGTAAAGAAATTTCTATTGCGATGCTTATATCATTGATAGATTTAAAATCCACATTAGCTAATTCATTATTTAAATGATCCACTCACCTTATTTATTTATATAAACTGGTAATCATATTTAAGTAAGCAAGTTATTATACAAGACACGAAACACAATCTTGCAGAAGTTGTTTCCAAATGTAAAAAATCATAATGCTGATGAATTTCTTAGTCTTTTCATTTGTTTCTCAAATTCAAATCAGATGAGACCTTTTCCACTAAAAGCCCTTGTACCCTTATTTATTTGACGTTTTCACTGTCAGTGTTCAGGTATCTTGATTCTCCATGATTCAAGACAAAAAAATCTTCAGTGTTAAGTCCATATCTTTCTAGAGCTTCACACAGTTTCACTCGAGGCTCTAAGTAATGCTGGCATAGAGAAGAAAAAAAATGGAAAAAGATTAATAATACATATACTTGGAGGCTATTTTAAATAAGAGTTTAAAATACCCAACAGACACCTACTTAAAATAATATACTTTCTTTCAACTGAAATATTAGCAAATGAGTCAATCACATTTTCTAACACACATTGAGTCAGTTAAGTCAATAGAAATGTCAGTACTTATCAATCCATCCAAACGCAATGCATGTCAAATCTGGTGCCATCTTAGATTGAACATCATTAGATTCCATGAAATCTGATCATGATTTCACTATATGAAATTTCAGTCTAAATGGAATCAATGCCAGAAATGACAGTAAAGAAAAATGTTATCAACATTTTGAAGAATACAGCAATCTGACAGTATGCGTGTATGTAAGCAAAAGCTAGAGCAAATTTTTCTGGCTGAAGAAAAAGGATATTATCCTCAATCTCTAGCCAAATTTAGACACTGTAGTACACATAATGAGAGGGACCTAGAGAATAGAGATAAAATAGGTGACGTCTCCCGATTTCCCTTTTTCCCTCCTCTTTTCATATCTAAATAAAAAGCGAAGGCAGCACAGAGTATGTATCAGAACGTATTCACCACTCAGATGTTTTCCAAATAAACATGAATAGAATAGCTATTAATAGAGAAATTTAAAAATATGAAAGACAAATCGTTTCATCAGTTATTTCTCTTTTGAGAAGTCATCAGTTCATCAGTTATTTCTCTTTACATTGTATAACAGTTATTTTTTCTTTATTCAGAGAGGTTTTTTCCCTAATTCCAATTATGAAAGTTATAATATGTCAAAGTATTTAGCAGGAATAAAAGTCAAACTGCCTCTCACCTAATCACCAGCGGGAAGTCAGCCTTGCTCCTTCATGCAACAAATATCTTTTGAGCGCCTAAGGTGCATGCCAGACTAGTGAACCAAACAGACAAGACAAAAATACTTTCCTTCATGGAGCTTATATTCTAATACAGAGAAGGACAAGAAATTAATAAATAGTAGTATCTGAGAAGAACTGTGCGGCAGGGGAGCAGAGGTGGAGGTTTAATTAGTCCAGAAAGGCCTCCTGAGAAGGTGTCATTTAGCAGAGACCTGAAGGAGTAGATTGCACAGGGCTCTGGCGGCAACTGTGAGGACTAAGGCTTTCCTCCAAGTGCGATGAGGAGCTGCCAGGGTGTCTGGCAGAGGAGTGGCATGATCTGATTTAAGTTGTAACAGTCACTGCCCTCTGTAGTGTTGTGAAAAACTGTAAGGGACTGTATAGTAGCAGTGAAGGTGGTAAGAAGTGGTCAAATTCTGAATATAATCTGAAGGTTGAGCTGACAGTATCTGTGGAAGAGGTGGCTAGGGGATATGGGAGAAAGAGAAATCTAGGAAAACTCCAAGGTTCTAGCCCAAGTAACTGGAAGGACCCAAAAACCAAAACCCCATTGCTGTCGAGTCAATTCCAACTCCTAGCGACCCTACAGGACAGAGAAGAACTGCCCCACAGGGTTTCCAAGTAGCGCCTGCTGGATCTGAACTGCCGACCTTTTGGTTAGCAGCCAAACTCTTAACCACTATGCCACCAGGGTTTCCAGTATTCTTCACCAACACCATAATTCAAAGGCATCAGTTCTTCTCTGGTCTTCCTTATTCACTGTCCAGCTTTCGCGTGCACATGATGTGACTGAAAATACCATGGCTTGGGCCAAGCACACCTTAGTTCTCAAAATGACATCTTTACTTTTTAACACTTTAAAGAGGTCTTTTACTTAAGAAAACAGAAGAAAGAAGGTTTCACAAATTATTTATGCTTCTAAGGATATTTAATTACCAAGGCTAATGTATTCATTTCTGTTCCAACATATGTATTTTCATATATAAAATGCTGTATTTCATAAATTTCAAGACAGACATATTATCAATATTTTAATACCACTGATGTCAAATGTGTCATATAATGGATGACATAATTATAACTGATAGCATTTTTACTTTCTTAGTGGCATGTAATAGTGTGCCTTACAATTCATGGTGTCTTAAACTGGATGAAATACAGTCTTATGTAAAGATCTTTATCAAGTTTTCAACCACTTTTTAAAACACAGGTTGTTTACAAGATGGAGGAGGAACAAGTTTAAAGGAAGATCAGGAAGTCTGGTTTTAGTCTTAAGTTCTAGGTGCCTACTGGGCATCCAGCTGTGGATTGAAGGGGAGAACGCTGAGCTAAAGAGGTCCAGCGAATAGATAGTATTTAAAGTCATAAGACTGGATGAGATCCTTAAGGGAATAACTAACTACAGAAGAGGTCTATGGTCTGAGTCCCAGGTTAAGAGATTTCAAAATTATAAAATTCAATGCTTAGAGGGAGTGGAGATGAGGAAATAGCAACAGGGACTAAGAACGGACGGCCAGTGATATACAAGGCAAACCAGGCTTTAAGTTTCCTATAGCCTAAAATGGACAGGTTTGGTAATAGTTAATTGCCACACAGGTCTTTTTCCTCCTTTGCTCACTTCAAGGTTTATGGCTATGTTTAGAGGATCGAGGATGCCTTTCAACTGACTCCTGAGTAAATCAGGTTTTCACTATACCTCAGTTACCTAGTACTCCTAGAGATAACCAGTTATTAATGGATTAGTTGATAACAGCAATTTATTTTAGTCTCTTTTATGCATTTAGAAACAAGATCACTAATATATTAGTAATAAAATTTAACTTTAATAGCCTAAGTCAAGAAATTTCCCTTGCAAAATTATTTTAGTGTAACATATTTCAAAATTATGAAATTCTTTCCCATTGAAAAATAACTTGTTAATTTTTTTTCTTCCATATTCCACGAATCTTGGCCAACAATACACATATACATTACCCTACACTAATAATTTCCTGGCTAAGCTATAACTTTAGTGTGGAACATTTGATGCTATGTGGATTTAGTGTGGATTATGATGTTACTTTAGTTGGCTGTAGACCCCGTGTTCTTAATCTGCCCAGATTTAGCAATCTTTCTGAGTTTATTCATAGGTCAATTCTAGACTTTTTCAACCATCTAGAAGATAACTCTGGAAGTAGACAAGAAAGGCTTCTGAATGACTAACAGCTATCCCAGAGTCCAAACACTTCCATCCACAGGGCAGGTAACTGCCCCACAGCCAGGAGCCAAACAACTATGTAGAAAGCAAGGCAGTAGATTAGAACTCAGTAAGAGAAGTGATAAAAGCAGAAGGGCTCCCAGCACTCTGGATCCATCAAAGGTCAGAGAGCCAGCCCAGACAACTCAGAAATTACTAAAGGAATCACTGTTTTATGATCTAGTACAATAGCAGATATTCAAAGTAAAGACTCTGGTCATTTAAAAAGTTAAATCACATATTAGGTAATGCTTGAGATTTGTTTCCACCGAAACTAGTGACTGTTTTAAGTTCTAGTGCTTAAATACATCATCTAGGAAATTCACTTCTCATTCCCAAGATAAATCAGATGTTGCTGTATATATCATTTTAAAGTTCTGCCAAGTTACGATCATCCTTTATCTGCTGATATTAGAGTGAACAGCTATTGTAATTGCTTATATGCAAATAGCTTTAAAGTGTTTAGAACAGATAGGCTAAGCATCCTCTCTGAAAATTCCATCTACTTTACAATTTGCTTAACAAACTCAGAGCTATAAGGTTTATTCAACTAATGTCAAAATACAAAGACAATCCAAATTGCCAGGCTCTAAATGACTTTTTATTATCTGTTCCATTAAGAAATAAAGATGGAGGTTAGATTTATAATAAGAAGAAGTCACAATAATTCTTAAAGGCCAAGGTTTTTTATCTTTCCTCATTTTCTCCATCTCAGTAAGGAGCGCAACCATCTACCCAATCACTCAAGCTAAAAAACCAGGAGTCATCCTTGATTCCTCTCTCGCACAAATTTAATGAATACACTATCACCTCATCTAAGTCACTGATATATATATGAGCTCTCGGGGCACAATGGTTAAGCGTTTGGCTGTTAACTGAAAGGTTGGTAGTTAGAACACATCCAGAGGCTCTGCTAGAGAAAGACCTGGAAATCTGCTCCTGTAAAGATTACAGCCTAAAAAACCCTATGGGGCAATTCTACCCTATTCACATGGGGTTGCTATGAGTCTATACGTATATATACATATATATATATATATATATATACACATACATATATGTATATATATATGAAATTGCCACCAATTATAGAGTGTTGTTGTTGCTGGATGCAATGCAGGGAATCACTTCCAACTCAGCGACCCGATATACAACAGAACAAAACACTGCCCAGTCCTATGCCATCGTCACAATCATAGTAATGCTTGAGCCCACTGTTGCAGCCACTGTGTCAATCCATCTCGTTGAGGGTCTTCCTCTTTTTTGCTCACCCTCTACTTCTGGAGAAACATGATGTCCTTCTCCGGGGACTGATCCCTCCTGATAACATGTCCAAAGTATGTGAGACGAAGTCTCACCGTCTTTGCTTCTAATGAGCATTCTGGCTGTACTTCTTCCAAGACAGATTTGTTTATTCTTCTGGCAGTCCGTGGTATATTCAGTATTCTTCGACAACACCATAACACAAAAGCATCAGTTCTTCTTCGGTCTTCCTTATTCATCGTCCAGCTTTCGCATGCATATAAGGCTATTGAAAACACCATGGCTTGGGTCAGGTGCACCTTAGTCCACAAAGTGGTTATCTTTGCTTTTTAACACTTTAAACAGGTCTTTTACAGCAGATTTGCCTAATGCAATATGTCGTTTGATTTCCTGACTGCTGTTTCCATGGGCACTGACTGTGGGTCCAAGTAAAATGTAATCTTGACAACGTCAATTTTTTCTCCATTTATCATTATGTTGCTTATTGGTCCTGTTGTGAGGACTTTTGTTTTCTTTATGTTAAGGTGCAATCCATACTGTAGTCTTTGATCTTCATCAGTTAACTGCTTCAAGTCCTCCTCACTTTTAGCAAGCAAGGTTGTGTCATGTGCATATCGCAAGCTGTTAATGATTCTTCCTCCAATCCTGATGCCCTGTTCTTCTTCATATAGTCCAGCTTCTCTGATTATTTGCTCAGTATACAGACTGAATAAGTATGATGAAAGGATACAACCCTGATGCATACCTTTCCTGACTTTAAACCATCCAGTAACCCCTTGTTCTGTTCGAACAACTGCCTCTTGGTCTATGTACAGGTTCCCCATGAGCACAATTAAGTGTTCTGGGATTCCTATTCTTTGCAATGTTATCCATAATTTGTTATGACCCATACAGCTGAATGCCTTTGCGCAGTCAATAAAACACAGGTAAACATCTCTCTGGTATTATACCCTACTTTCAACCATGATCGATCTGACATCAGCAATGATATCCCTGGTTCCACATCCCCTTCTGAATCCAGCTCAAATTTCTGCCAGTTCCCTGTCAATGTACTGCTGCAACTGCTTTTGAATGACCTTTGGCAAAATTTTACTTGCGTGTGATATTAATGAAATTGTTCGATAATTTCCACATTCTGTTGGATCACCTTTCTTTGGAATGGACACAAACACGGATCTCTTCCAGTCAGCTGGCCAAGGAGCTGTCTTCCAAATTTCTTGCCATAGATGAGCGAGCACCTCCAGTGCTGCATCCCTTTGTTGCAACATCTCAATTGGTATTCCATCAATTCCTAGAGCCTCTTTTTCTCCAATGCCCTCAGTGCAGTTTTGACTTTTTCCTTCAATACCATAGGTTCTTAATCATATGCTGCCTCCTGAAATGGTTGAACATCGAGCAATTCTTTTTGGTACAGTGACTCTGTGTATTCCTTCCATCTTCTTTTGATGCTTCCTGTGTCATTCAATATTTTCCCCGTAGAATCCTTCAATGTTGCAACTCGGGGCTTGATTTTTTTCTTCAGTTCTTTCAGCTTGAGAAATGCCGAGTGTGTTCTTCCCTTTTGGTTTCCTAACTCCAGGTCTCTGCACATTTCATTATAAGTTTGCTTTGTCTTCTTAAGCTGCCCTTCAAAATCTTCTGTTCAGCTCTTTTACTTCATCATTTCTTCCTTTCACTTTAGCTACTCTACACTCAAGAGCAAGTTTCAGGGTCTCTTCTGACATCCATTTTGGTGTTTTCTTTCTTTCCTGTCTTTTTAATGACCTTTTGCTTTCTTCATGTATGATGTCCTTGATGTCATTCCACAACTCATCTGGTCTTCAGTCATTAGTGTTCAATGTGTCAAATCTATTGTTGAGATGGCCTCTAAACTCAGGTGGGATATACTCAAGTTCGTATTTTGGCTCTCGTGGACTTCTAATTTTCTTCAGCTTCAACTTGAACTTGCATATGAGCAATTGATGGTCTGACTGATGATATTGAGCTTCTCCATAATCTCTTTCCACTGATGCAGTCAATTTGATACTTGTGTATTCCATCTGGCTAGGTCTATATGTATAGTTGCCATTTATGTTGTTGAAAAAAGTATTTGCAATGAAGAAGTCGTTGATCTTGCAAAAATTCTATCATGTGATCTCTGGTATCATTTCTATCACCAAGGCCATTTTTTCCAACTACTGATCCTTCTTGTTGTTTCCAACTTTTGCATTCCAGTCACCAGTAATTATCAATGCCTCTTGACTGCATGTTTGATCAATTTCACACTGCAGAAGTTGGTAAAAATCTTCAATTTCTTCATCTTTGGCCTTAGTGGTTGGTGTGTAAATTTGAATAACATTCATATTAGCTGGTCTTCCTTGTAGGTGTATGGATATTATCCTATCGGTGACAGCGTTGTACTTCGGGATACATCTTCAAATGTTCTTTTTGCCAATGAATGCGACACCATTCCTCTTCAATTTGTCATTCCCAGCTTAGTAGACCATGTGATTAGAGTGGCAGGCCACTAGAAACCAGTCTCAAACTTCACCCTTGTCCAAATACACATACATACATTCACATTCACATTCATTCTCCACCACTCACTGGGGTCACTCATTTATTTATTCCATTCCCTTCCCCAACAGTGTGGCTCAGTGTGGCTAAGAGTTGCTGCATCATGAGATGGGAGTTTTGATGGAGGAGGGGAGTAGTTGGGGAAGATAGTAGGTAATTTTGGAACAAACTGCATCTTAGGGCGAGAGCTGGCCAGAGAGAACAGAGGGGGAGTACTTAGAACAACATGAATACATGGAGTTCCAGTAGCGAGTCCCTGAGATGTGGAAGATGCCAGAGAGCAAAGTGGGAGAAGCCCAGTTCTAACTATCCATTTCTAAATTTTGCTTAGGGTAGGCCCTGGGTCCAGGAAAGGAAAGATGGCTTTATGCTATCCTTCTCTTGATCCCAGAAACCGGCTAGTAGCAGAGTTCTAGGGTTCAGCTACCTTAAGGTTAAAATCAACTCTTCTGTATTAGTCTAGGAATAAAACCACCATTCATCCCAATACCTTGCACACAGCAGGTACTGAATCAATGTTTATTGTATGAAAAACATATTTCTAAAAAGTTCCAATCTGTCTATCTAGCCTTCTTTCGTTGCTCTCCAAGCCACCCATACTCCCACTAAACTGACACCTCACTATTGCCCATGCTGCCTCCAATCCTATGCTTGCCCTTTTGTCCTCTGGAAATGTCTTCTTCCTTGCCTTCTCACAGCCAAGTTCAAATGTCACCTCTTCCATGAAGCTCTCTCTGATCCTTCCAGTCAGTTACAGACTCTGACCCTGAGACCACTTTATCTGTCCCGTGCTTGCAGCATTTACCCTTTTCAACAACTGTGTTAGAGTTATTATGCACAAGTCCTATATCTTCTGTTAGAACGAAAGCCTCCTTAGTGGGGAAGACATGAATGGTTCATTTTTCTGTTCCCCACAGATTACACCCACAGATTTTGGTTATATAAAAACATGCTTCACTAACTATAGAAATAAGCCAAAAGAACAGCATGCAAGGAGGTTTGTTTTTTTTTTTTTTTTCCATTCTGTCTAAATATTATTTTACTAATTAATATGAGTCATCATCTTAACTCATGTGATGACTGTGAAAGTTTTGATCTGCACTCTGGTCTCCAAAAACACTGGTAAGGGTTCACTGATGCCTGAATTCTATCAGAGGTCATACACATAAACACAGCTATTTTTTTATCACAAACTCACCTCATTTGCTAAGGCAAAAGTTCCCCAGTGAATTGCCACCGATTTCTTTGTTTGAACATCAATGTGGATCCTTACAGCTTCTTCTGGGTCTACATGCTGGTATTTCATAAACCACCTGATGAAACACAGCGATTCATTAAGTCTGGGCTTTGAAATAAACTCTCAATTCTAATTACTGCTTCATCTAATTATCCTTTACATTTCTGCACAAGAATAAATCATAGTAGGTAAAAATCCTTTTCCCTGAGTCCACATTTCTGCTGGGGAAAAAAAAAAAAAGTAAAAATCTCTCTTGTACAAATTGCTATAGTACAGATAGATTTGAAGCAAAATTCTCATCTATACATAGTAAGATTTTGTTTCATGTATATTTTTATTTTACTGATGATTTATTCTGAAGATATGCCTTTCTATTGCCTTCAAAAGTAGATGTTTTTCAGTCCTAGATATGAATCAAGGTAAAGAAAAGGAAGCCAGAACTCCAGTTGCAAAAGAACCTGAATAACCTGCTGCAACAAATTTTTTAAATCTGCTAAAGCAAAAAGCAAACAAGTATTAGGATATAACACTGAAATACTCGGAGCAAAAAAATCTAATAGCTATTCAAGGAATTTTATTTAAACATCATAAAACTAAACAATGAGTTGTCTGGTTTGGCAAGAACAGACAGTACAAGGGGGAATAATGGGTAATGAGATCAACAAATATTTTAGAGACACTGAAAGGCTGCCTTGAAAAGAACAAGGGTTCTGGAGGCAGAGGGCTAGGGTGTGAATCCAGCTCTACCAGTTTCTGGAATGGCCTTGGAAAAAGTCCCTTCAAATTCTCTGAGCTTTGGTTTCCTTGTCTGTGAAAAAGAAATTATACCCACCTTATAAGCTCATTGTAAGGATTAGACAAGACAAACTTTATGAAAGCATCTACTACCTACTACACAGAATTCTCACAAAAGAGTAATGACTTGCCAAAATCAACAGTTTCAGGAGAATTATTATTTCTGATACAAAGCAAAAATGTACTGTCTATAAGCAAATGCTCTGCTTCCCAAGCCAGCAGTTTAAGGGAAGAAAAGCAACACTATCTTCACATTATTTCTATCCCCAGCCTGCTACTGCCTACTACTGCCGACTAATGCTACAGTTAAGATTAATGAATATGGATTCACCCTAGGTGCTTCTGCACTTTATAGAACACATTACGGAAAGTTCATCCATCTGCAGCTGCTAGAGGGTTGTTATTTACTATTAGGAGGGGGTGGGCCCTATGGGAACCCAAAAACAAAGCCACTGTGTTTGCCTCAACAATTAGATCTGCTGAGAAGTACTGTTCTGCTACATCTCCTAGCACTGGGAATTCAGAGCAAGGCGAAATGGCTTTTGGTGTTAAAAACTGCACATCAAAGGGATAGACACATTCCTTTCTACTCTCATGTCTATCTGAAATGAATTTAAAATATTTACTCTGGTGTAGAAATTAAAATAAAAACTTAAAAGCATAACTGACTTGGATAGACTCCCCAGTGACAGGAGATCCCAAAGGTAAGAACTCAATGTTCGAAACCTATCATGGGAAGTTATTTTTGGTGTGATCATACTACATTCACATAGTACTTTGAACTTTTGTTGAATGAATAACCTTATTTCTAAAGCTGTTACTACTGACCAGAGCAAAGGGTTACACAGTACAGGTTACCGTGATTTAATTCTCTTAGAGCAAATAAGGTCCTCCCTGTCCTCCTCCCATCAAATGGCTGCAATGAAAGCAGGAAGGGGGCAGTATGTGGGTAAATTCGTTGTGGTTTGGCTGCACCCGAGTTGTATCAATTCTTCTTTTATTTAAGTCACATTCTATAAAATGCTACATATGAAAATTTATTTTCCAATTACAAATAAGAGACATTCTAATACATTAAGAATATATACTGAGTAGAGCTTAGTACCATACAAAATTGATTTATAACAGTTCTAAAAAAATATGCAGGTTGATTGATGTTTTCGAAGGTTTCGTTAGAATTTTAATTATTTAAAGGGAAAAGTAAATGTAAGCAATAATACTGGTTTATAATAATTTTAATAATTATTAGAAATTAAGGAAATAGAAAAGGTAAAAATATCTAGCCACCAAAATAAGGAAACTAGGAATAAGCATAAAAGGGAAAAATAAACATTAATAAAGTTAGGAAAGAAACAGTTTTGGTCAACTTAAAAAGTTAACATTTAAACAAGCATAATAAAATCAGATGAAAGATCAGATTTGTTCAATTCGTCTAAGTATTAGAAAAACACTTGTTCTCTTTGTTAAAAAAAAAAAAAAACAGTTGCCATGGAATTGATTCTGTGCCAGAGTAGAACTGTGCTCCATAGGGTTTTCAATGTCTGGTTTTTTGGAAATAGACTGCCAGGCCTTTCTTCTGAGATATCTCTGGGTGGACTCAAACCACCAACCTTTCAGTTAGCAGCCAAGCATGTTAACCATTTGCACCATCTAGGGATTGCCTAAATAAAATGCATTTATATACATCTGTGCCTCCACATCAGAATGAAATAAAAATTACTTTTTATTATCCTTTACTTTGTTACTATCAGTGTTTATTTCCTCTTTACCTGTACTTATAAACCAGAAATCTAACAGAATTATCCGAAATCTCTTCTCTGTTCCATAAGTAAACAGTATTAAAGAAAAATAAAGATGGTGGACAGGTCTCCTAAGTGTCAAATGATAGTGTGGCCTTTAGTTGCTCTGAAGATATGTGATGAGTATGTAGAGGTCAGGTTGGAGAAAGAGTGGTGAGTAATGCAACAATGTCATTGCTAAATTCACTTCAGTGTTAACTGAAATGAGATCACAGACAACTCATGGTATAGGCCAATCTCATGGTTTCTCTCTCTGGTAAATAAGGAGAGCTGCAGGACCAGGGATCAGCACATATAAGTTACAGGCAGAAAAGCGGTTATATAAAGTATCCTTCACGTGAAAGGAAGAATAAGAATTAGGTTTGAATACTGTCATGGATTGAATTGTGTCCCCCCAAAATATCTGTCAACCTGACTAGGTCATGATTCCCAGTATTGTATGATTGTCTACCATTTTGTTATCTGATGGTGATTTCCTTATGTGTTGTAAATCCTATCACTATGGCATAATAAGATGAATTAGTGGCAGTTATATTGATGAGATCTACAAGATTAAATAGTGTCTTAAGCCAATCTCTTTCGAGATATGAAAGAAAGAAGCAAGCAGAGAGACATGGGGATCTCATACCACCAAGAAAACAGTGCTGGGAGCAGACCGCATCCTTTGAACCTGAGGTTCCTGCACCGAGATGCTCCCAAACCAAGGGAAGACTGATGAATCACAAGAACCTTCCTCCAGAGCCGACAGAAAGAGAAAGCCTTCCCCTGGAGCTGACGCCCTGAATCTGGACTTCTAGCCTACTGGACTGTGAGAGAATAAACTTCTGTTTGTGAAGCCATCCACTTGTTGGTATTTCTGTTATAATAGCACTAGATGACCAAGACAAATAGTGTGATTGCTTATAGTTTAACTTTACTTGGAATGGTATGTGAACTTCTGACTACTTACAGTAATTCTTTAAACCTTGATCCTTTTTCCTTGATAGTATCATTTCTAATTTTGAGTAATTATTTAACTGATATGAATGCAATTAAATTGTTTTAAAATTTAAAAAAAATTAATTTCAGTTGACTCACCAACCCCCAACCGACATATAACAAGGTCCACCATTAAAATCACAAATCATTAAGTAACACAAAAGCATAACTATTTTACTTTTAAATTCAGTTATTATGTAGTAGGAATATTTTCTTTTAGGTCAGCTTTTAGAAGTCTACATACCTTGGTTCATAAGCTCCAATGGGAATAGCTGCAAGGTCAAAAGGTCCAAATCTTTTTCCTATCTCTTCAAAAGCAGTGCAATAACCAGTATCTCCTGCAAAAAAGAATCTATTCCAAGGCCCCAAGATAGACCAGCTGCCCCACAGAACATTATTATCATCCGTTAGAGTCCTCTTACACCAGTGCTGGGAAGGTGTAAACACAAAAGTGACATTATCATGCCTGGGGACACAATTCTCCTCCCACCAGTCCAGCTCAATCACATCCTCACAGCCACATTTTTGCATCCAGTCAAGGAGACCCAAAGGCACAAACCACCTCAACTCATTACCAAATCGTTCATTCAGAGCAATGACAGAATTGTAGTCCAGGTGGTCATAGTGGTTGTGACTGATAAGGACTGCGTCTATCGGGGGAAGGTCACTTATTGCGCATGGAGGGTGACGAAAGCGCTTTGGACCCATCCACTGCAACGGTGATGCACGATGGCTGAAGATGGGGTCCGTAAGAAATATGAGCTCATCCATTTCCACCATTACCGTTGCATGTCCTAGCCATGTGACTCTTAAGCCAGCTTCCCTCACTCCAGCTTCGTCAGGGTCATCAATAAAATATGGTTTAAGCACGGGGAGTTCTTTATCAAGTTCCTATGCATAAAAAGAAAGAAGCAGCAGCAGTTGGGGGAGAAAAGGTATCATTTCATCACAGAACATATTTTGACCTGAATTATAGAGAAAAGGGCTATTTTGAGGGAACTGAAGTCATTCAATAAGCTGCTTTAGTCTTGAAAATGCATATTTAACTTCTTTCTGAATCTGACTTGATAATTATGATAATATAATAATGTAAGATATTCTTGGTCCCAAATGAAATGGGCAAAGGGAAAATTAAATTGAAAACTCTGAAGACAGCTAAATTTATTAAAAGTTCTTTAAAGGCAGTGCCAGAAGTAGACTGGCCTAGATGCAGTCATTTTGTTGCTGCTATTTCACTCAGCTGGTGTATTTGCTGCTTAAAACCACCTCAGAAGCAGGTCAGCCCCTGGAAAGAAAAGCTTATGACCATTCGTAGATCTTGATCTCAGATATGAATCTGACTTTCTGAGTGCATATCACTCAAAGCAAAGCACTGTGAAGATTTCTGGGCAAGTCACAGTCACAGACAGTTCTCTTCATTCAATATCCTTAAGATTTTCTACCACTAATCACAACAAAGCAAAACATGGCCCCTGCTTGTGAGAAGTTGATCAGTTTTGTGGGGAAATAGATGTATAACAATAGCTACAATAAAATGTGGTAAATATTATTCCTTTGGTTATTTTAGATTTTATCCTTGGATCAAGCCAGACCACCCCACCCCCTCGCAAAAAAAAAAGCACTTTTGGTCTTTTACAAACCTGCTTTTACTGAAGTGTGCTTTGGTATTTCTGCATTGAGGTCTCCTACAGGGAGCAGTCTCTAAACTTGCAGTACATGTATGGTAGGGCTGTTGCTGAAGACTTGCCACCACCTCCCACTCACCCCAGAAACATTTCTTGCAATTTTCAGTCACAGTAAAAATTCTTCTTCCCCCTGAGTAACTACTTGACTGTCATTGAGAAGACTCTAACAGTTCATGTTTCTCTTTTTGCTTTGTCTTTGGAGTCCCTGGGTGGCGCAAATGGTTAAGTGCTCAACTACTAACCAAAAGGCTGACAGTTCAAAACCAACCAGAGGTGCCTCAAAAGAAAGGCCTAGCAATCTGCTTCCAAAAAGTCACAGCCTTTTGAAAACCCTATGGAGCAGTTCTACTCCAATGCACATGGAATTACCATGTCTCAGAATTGACTTGATGGCAACTGGTAAGGTAATTCGTAAGGAAGTTCAGAATAAAAGCTGAGATCACCTCTAGCGATGTGCAGCAGGAATGACAGAATGTATTTCTGTACTCATTTTATTCTTGGCTGTATTTTATTTTTCTACCCTAATATTCCATCTGCTTATGCTCATCCATTTGTTTTTATGCTGCCACTTGTATTTTTATAAGTTAATGCAAATTTTGGGAAAGGTGTGGTATTGGATAAGTAATTAAATAAAATACAAAGTATGCTATAGTTTAACCAGAAGGAATAAAGAGCCCACTTGCCAAAGACACCACAACACAATGACCTGGGAGTTCCTGAATGATGAGAAATTCATGAGGCGAGGTTTCATTTTAGAGTGATGAAAATGTATTAAGTTAGATTGTGGTGATGAATGCACAACTCTGTGAATATACTAAAACCCACAAAATTGTGCACATTAAATGGGTCAATTGCATGGTATGTAAATTTAATATCAATAAAGCTGTTCAAAAAACAGGAAGAAAAAGTGCTGACAAGAGACCTGAACTGAGTAGTCACACTTTTTCATGTTCTTTTCTTCCTGCTGTAGGTTTCTATGTGCATCACAAAAGAGCACCTTATTTTAAAGAATATGATCTCCAGCGCTACTGACTCAGAAAACACAAAGTACTGGAGTCTACAACCAAGCTCCCCAGAAGAAAAACTCCTTTTTTACTTTTTATTCTAATCACCAGAGTTTGAAAAACCATGTAGAATGGAGGAGGGAGGACATGATTATTTATTTTAGGGAAATCAAGCATTCACTTGGCATTTTCTTGGCTAGATCACGATTTTCTTGACTGGTCTTTCTTGAAAGCTGCCAAAACAGAAAATCCCAAGGCCCATTATTAACTAGTAGACTAGCTAATGTTTCACTTCTCTTGGGGAAAGAAAAACATTCTAACATTCATTGAGCCACTACTCTTTGCCAGGTGCTTTAAGTACACCGTGTCATCTCACTGCTGCCGTTTTACAGATAACCAGACACAGACACAGAGGTATCACTAAGAGATTCACCAAAGTCATACAGTCCCTCCAGGACTGGACTCTAGATCTTCCTGACTCTAAAGACCCACTTTTCACTACACTGTAATTCTTTCCACAGCACAAATCATATTAACTTACACTAAAATTAAACAATAAAAGCCATATTCTTCAATTGTCCCCTTTGCCATGAGACCAGAAGAACTCGATGGTGCCCCCAGCTACAACTACCAAATGTTTTGATCAAAGATTCTATGGAAGAATCCTGATTAAAAGGAGGGAAATGCAGAATAGAATTTCAAATTCTCATGAAATCTAATTTTTTTTGGATCCACGAAAGCTGGATGAACCCCCAAAACTACTGTCCTAAGATAATCTTTAAATGTTAAACCTTAAACCTAAAATATTCCCTAAAGTCTCCTTAAAAACAAATAATAGTTTAGCTTAACTAGTAAAGAGTGTCTACCTTGAGCATTGTGCTCTTTTAAGATCTATCTATACGGGATCAAACTGACAATAGCAACTTGATAGGAAAATGAGGGGGCAGTGAGTTTATGTTAATGGGGGAGGAACAACTCAGAAAAAGGGGGTGTGAATGGCTGCACTATTTGAAGAATGTAGTCAATGGCACTAGATTGTACATGTAGAAATTGTTGTGATGTTCACCTGCATCTATTCTTAACAAAACAAATTATTAAAAAATCTTGTTAATATACTTATTATTTTAACAATATGTATTTCTGTGCATGAATGAGATGGAAAGGAAGGATTTGACTCAAATCTATTTATTTTGTGTGTGTGTGTGTGTGTGTGTGTGTGTGTTTTGTACTTTAGGTGAAGGTTTACAGAACAAATAGTTTCTCATTACTCAGTCAGTACGCATATTGCTTTATGACATTGGTTAACAACCCCACGTCAACACTCTCCCTTCTCGACCTTGGAGGATGCTTTTTCTTTTTTGGTGAAAATATACATAGCCAGAGATACACCATTTCAAAAATTTCTACATGTACAATACAGTGACATTGATTACATTCTTCCACTTGTGCTGCTATTCTCACTATCCTTTTCCAAATTATTCCATCACCATTATCTTCAACTCACTGTCCCC